GTGTTCTTGAGCGTTTACTAGTTCACTCATATCTACTCTTTGTGAGAGTTTCATTCCTGAGTGTTTAAGTGTTTTCATACACTTTAAGGGAGTTTGTTCCCTTGTTGTAAACTCGAAGGAAGTTTCTTGTTCCTTCGTGAGAAGTCTTGGAGTGCGGTATCTCCGAGCAAAGGTGTTGAGGCTCGTGTGACTCGGGTTCTCAAGTTGTATCGGTTTGTTAAGCACCCTTAAGCTTAACGGAGTTAGTGTAGCTCGAGAGAGTCTCTCGGGGGGCTGGATTAGCCACACGTTGTGGTGAACCAGGATAAAATCCGGTGTGCTCCTTCTTTACGCTCTTTACTTTAACGCTCTCGTTTTAATTTCCTGCGATTTTGTTTTAAACGCTATTCACCCCCCCCCCTCTAGCGTTGGGCCTTTATTCTAACAATTACTAAGAACCAAAGCCACACTAAAAAGTATACTCCAAGTTATACTCTAAAAAGATGCAATTACATTTTATGATTCATATTAACATAAAATGTTAATTCAACAAAAAATATTTACACTAAAATGTTGTATTAGTGTAAACCATCACATTAGAACAAAATGTTAGTGCATGTCTTCGTAATACAAAATGGGTTGCAAATTTTTATGTACAAATTGCTTAATTCTTTTACTTATATTTGCTAAATGCCTAAATTCACTCCCATTAATATATATTTGGTATTGGGAAGACAAATCAGATGGTGGACTTTATTAGATGCACCATAGATCTACATATGAGCAAAATAAGTATTTTTTTAATACGTAAATACGCTTTTATTTTTAAAAAAAACCAAAAAAAATATATGTAAGAATGTCTACAAAAATGATATGCACCCAACGTGCACAAAAGAAACACTCTTATGTGAAAGGGGTGGATATAGCCATTTTTAGATGGATTTAGCAAGACCTTTACCCTTATTTAAGGTCTGTTTGGAAATAATGTTAGTGATTAGCATTAGCGTTTTTAAAATGATATCTACATGCAGCATTTAGTGTTAACATTTTCAAAGTAATCTACACCGTTAAAATTTTATCGATCAAACAGCCAAAATGGGTATTTGGTAGTTGGTTGCAAGGGTTGGCTGTTTGAATACGAAAAGCCAAAAATTTAAAATCTACGGGGAGTAGCATTTCAGTTTGGCGGTTGGAAAATAGATTTTTTATTATTTGTTATTGTATGTAATTTTTATGAATAAATAAAAAATATTTATTGTGTAATTAAATAAAAAGTTAATAAATATATAAATAAAAATTGATAAATAAATTAATAAATAAATTAATAACTAAATAAATAGATAAGTAAATAATATATAAATAAATAAATAAATAGTCCGTCCCCGTGCAAAATTCATGAAGCGGTTTGCGAGAAAAAAATATTTTTTTCTGTTTTTTAGAATTTGATGTAAAAATAAACATATTATATTTAAGACCTATATCAAAAGTTTTTTGAAACAAAATATGATACTCTGTATAATTATTACTCCGTATGTTCTATCAATTGATCGATAAAAATACATAAATAAATAAAATCATAATGACTTTAGAACAACTAGTATTTCACCCGTGTGTTGCACAGAAATATATTAATTCTACAATTTAAGATGGATAAAAAAATTAATTCCAAAAATTGAAAATGAAAATATCAATAAATCATTTTTTGTATGGCTATATTATATCCTTAAATAGAGAAATATATGTCTACGTATGTAAGTATATTCTTCAATAAATTCTAAATTGAATTAGCAATGCACATAATAAAACAATACATTTTTAAGGAATTTTTTATATTTGATCAATAACAATTCAAGATATTAATGGATATGTATTTATTTTGTGATTTATTACAATCTGCATCATATATAAAAAACAATCACAATTTCAGTGAAAAATTAACCTTTGATGTGCTTTGTTCCAAAAATAAGAAGTTATTTTTATATTAATTACTCTGTATTTATTAGACACTTCATTTTAATTACTTCATTTCATTCATAAGTCCTTAGTTACTTCATTCATGCAATTCAAGAAATTATCAGAATAAAATTAAACTATTAACTATTTAGCTTAAATATAAATGATATAATGTGGGCCATATCAAATTTTCCCTGAGGGGAGTCATTTTGGTTTTAACTTCTAAAACATAAAACTCCAAATTCTTATCCTAAAACCAGATCATTTGAAACTATTTTCTCACAAATGATCAACTATTTGTAACTAAAATGAATAAAAAACAAAAACCAAAACCAAATGAAACGTGGCAGCAGGCCATATATGTTCTTGAGATTACTAATAGTCTAATACCATAGTGCACTTAGAAGTAGTAATCAAGGCCAAAGTCGAGCAAAAACCACAAATTAAACAAGATAGGGTTATTCACAAACTATCCAATACCTATAATAAGATCCAAATGTATCTTGAGAAACACACTAATTGGTTCTAAAAGTTGAACTCATCAAATATACTCAAAGACATGACATGCAACTTACATTAGTAGACACGTAAAGCATCACAACAATCTCAATTCATTCTAGAACAGCAGCATATGGAAAGCACTACCTGCGGTACCTTCCATAGTCAGGGCTCCTGGCTTCCTCATACACAGGGCCATTGTACCTGTCATAGACCGGGCTGCGAAGGCGCTTGTAATCATGGCTGGGTCGATTTCTGCGATACATTGGGCATGGGGACATTCTATATGGAGGAGGGCTTTCCACTCCCCCACGCCTGTCATAGTCTCTGCGGCGGTCAAATTTATCGCCCCTCTCATCATCATCTCGCAGGGCATACTCAACATACAGCACCATGTCGAGTATCTTCTTGTAGATAAACTATCAACTCCGTGCACACATTTTTTTCCTGTGTAGATAATCAAAACTGTTATTCTTTACAAAATTTTATTTATATTACCTCATGTGAGTGCACTCCAATGCTTTTGTTGCCTTTTCATGAGTTTAGAACAATATATAGCTTAAAATTTTATTTGAGGAGAGAAAGAATATATATTGCAAAGCATGTTTTATCATATAATTATGAGCACGTTCTTTAGGGCTTGAACTCTTAACTTCTAGTTTCTTCTAGTTTCTTCCGGTTCCTTCCAGATTCTTCCAGTTTCTTCCAATTTCTTCCAACTATTCTCATTCCTTCAAACTCTTTTTACTCCCCAACCAATTACTCTAAAAATGATATATTTTTAATGTTATTATTATTATTATTATTATTATAACAACTGATATGTTCATAACTATAGTTTATAAATTATTTTTTTCATCTCACTATTTTTACAACTTACACTCATTACTTTTTTCTTCAACTTTATAATATGAATAAGACAATGTTTTGTATATTAATCTACATGATAAAATAGGAAAACATCAATATGTTAAACTATATTAAAAAATTATGGATAAAATAGTGACATAGAATGTTTTATTAATCTAACTTTATATAAGACCTCTCACTTTCCCTTTATGACTTCAAATTTGCTCATTTCTCTAATTTTTATATAAAAAAGTTGTAAGTCAAAATAGTTTAGAGAAAAAGACTAAAATAGGAGTAAAACATAAATAATGTAAAAAAATGTTTTATGTCTTTATTCCAAAAATAGGACTTCTATGAAAATAAAATGTCAATCATGAAAGAAAAAAATAGGTTTGATTACATTATGTGACATGTCTGATATTTAAAAAGAATCTTGTAATATATAAAGTATAATTACAAACATATTATTTATAGTAAAATACTGCATAAATAAATTGAGGTGAAACATATCTACAAAAACTTTTTAAAATGTAATATTTTTCTATTTATGCTAACTTTATATTATAATTATTTTTTTGCAAAAGTAGTTTTTTTGTATTTGAAACATAACAATATTTTTTTGTATTTTATAGGTATTCATTAAGATAACGTGATGATGATGATAATAATAATAATATAATAATAATAATAGTAATAATAATAATAATAATAATAGTAATAATTTATAATGACAAGAATTTAAAATAAATTTTTTTAAAGTTTTTTAGGTTTTCCAATTTTTTAAAGTTTTTCCAGTTTCTTCCAGTTTTTTCTAGTTTCTTCTAGTTCCTTCCAGTTTTTTCCAATTTTTTCCAGTTTCCAGTTCCTTCTAGATTTTTCCAGTTTCTTCCAACATCTAGCTCTTTTTTTCCAATCCTAAAAAGCAGGCTCTATATGGGTGAAAAATTCATTAAATTGAATTTAGTTCATTAAAGTTACCCGTATTTTGAAAAAGCTAAGTTTGCCAAACAGTTTTTATCAACCGCCAATATAATCAATTAATCAAAGCAGTCACTCAACGACAAACTATATTATACATCCGGTTGTACCTAATTTTGGGTACAACCAATAAATTATTTATGGTATAAATTTTTTTACATGAAAATGAACACTAAGTTATTTGAGAATGACTACTTTTTTGTTTCAGAATGAACATTACAAAATTTGTAGATGAATATTATAATTATATTGAACCAAATGTGTGAAAATGAGTATTGCTTTATTTTAGAATGAGTATCGCACTAATTATATTTGGACAAAATAAGTACTACGTACTACTCTACTTCGAAATGAGTATTATTCGGATGTACAATAGATTTGTTTGTATCATATATACCTTCTCGTCACTCAACCAACCGTTCAAATGAGTAAACAACCTATGGTCAAAACAAGGGCCCTAAATTCAAATTTAATTTCACCCGGAGACTATACTGAAACCGGAGGGGATTGCAAGGATGAGCGATCTCCTTAACCACGCCTCTTTTCCTACGCAGCCGTTGACGGCGGCGCCGACGAACGATTCTCAGCCTCCGCCACTTTCGACCTATGTCGATGCCCCCCCAACTCAGCTCCCACAAGAATCCACTCCGCCTCCCCAATTCGATCCCAGTCGAAGTAATTTCTCATCTTCCTATTTCCGCAATTCCCAATTTTACTGCTCGCGAGTTCCCATTCGAATTTTTTCAAGTTTTGTTTCTTTGGACCCCCCCCCCCCCCCTCCCATTTTAAAGAAATGGTGCTCCGTATATATTTTTGCACTTGCTTTAAGATCACCTTCTGCTGAAAAGGTAAAAACTTAGAGCGTTTCTTAGATGATTTAGGGTTTACATGTTAGTTTCAAGTGAGCATTATTGTTTCATCCTCTCTCTGTAAATATAAACTTTTTTTATTCTGTTCTTTCTTTCATTCCATAAATCTGTAGGCCTGCATCTGAAGGCGATTTGCATTTATCGTTTGGCATATTTTCTGACTAGAACCAGAAGAATGTTTCCAAATTTGAGTATTTTGTCAAATTTGATATGCATTTTTACCCCTCCTGGATGCAGACCCCAATGGGGTTTGAATTATACTGGTTTTGTTGTTCCTTTTGTTATTGTTTGTGGTATTTACATTTTCCTGATTGTGTTCAAGTGATTGGCATCATCAAAAGAAAGGCTTTGATAAAAGATTTGGCTGCTGCATATCACGCGGAGTGCCTTTCGTATTGTCAACAGCTTTTGGAACTTCAAAAAAAACTTGAAGAGGTTAGAAGTATGGAGATCACTTTTTTGGCCTTTCACATATTCATTAGCAGATTTTTTTGTTCTATTACGCATTGGCTATAGTATCTAGTATTCTAGTCTATGAATTACAATTGTGCTTGGCTTTTGCTTTTTAAATATCAAAACTTGTCCCAATTTGCAGGCTATGACAATGAATTTCTGAACTTTCTGTTGTATATATACTGCCCTAGGATTTAGTATTTCAATTTGATTCATGCTTATCTAAAGTGGATGTCACTGTAGATTTTTTAAGTGTGTACATATAATCTGGTGTCTGGTCTTATGTCCATTTCTGTACTGCTTCAAGAAAAGAGGAAGAAGAAATTGGTGGTGGCTGTAATCATATACAGAGTAAACAAGAGTTTGTCACGAGAACATTTTTATAAATAAAAAAGTTCCGCTCACTTTGACACGAATATATTTGTTATTCATTTTTTAATTGATTGTAATAATGCAATACTCGGTGCGTAGTACACTCTTCTTTTTTAAAAAAAAGAACAAGAAAAATTATATGGAGTAATTGGTTCGTCTAGTTTTCCCCAAATATTGTCAATCTCTATGTATCAAATATGAGATTCTTCTACATTGCATCCATAACACATTGTTGCTTTTTAGTGCTGATTTTAAAAAGATGTGCTCTGTGATGCAATAAATATTTATGTCGTGGTATTATAAATGTGTGGACTATACCTGTTAAAGTTTATGCTCAAGTTCAGATTTAGAAGGTGCATGATGCTAGCTAGAGTCTAAAACTCTAAAATTTAAGGAAAAGTTGGTTAGTTAATAGTAATACAAAAACGTCATACTAGGAAGAGCCTCCAGTTCAATACTTTTCTTTTTCTTCATCCACAAGTGAACATATTTTTCACGCAGCTCACACAACATATATGCGAGCTCATACACATTTGTATTTATGCCCTACGTCACCCCTGCCCGGGCTGCCCTTGCATCTCATGTATTTGAAACTAATGTGTGATTATCATTTCCTTAGAAAAAGATAGATACCTCCAGCCTTCATCAGCATAAACAGTGCATATATTGGATCTTTTTCATCAACTTTAGACACAATGCTGTCAATTTACACAAATTTGTAATATTTTGCAGCGACAAGATGACATTAAAACTCCTGAGGATTTGAGGAAAGAGCCAACAAGACCCGCAAAACGATTGAAGAAAACTCGTTAAGCATCTTCAGGCTTTGGCACAGGCCTCCAAATTACAGTGTATGGTGCTTTCCATTCTAACATTCTAATTGTCACCTGAGGTTAGTAGAACATGTAGTACAAACAGCCCTCCAATGTTTGTCTATACACACTGAATTTGAGGTGTCTAGGATTATTCTAGATTTGTTGTTGAAAAATAAAACCTTTGTTGGGAGCACACTGTCCATGAGAATATCTATGGGGCATCTGAAATAGTCAAGGCATAAACCAGGTTTTGGATTGGTGGGTTCTCTCCAACATTTTCCCAGAACACTTAGGCTCCGTTTGGTATACGAAATTTAAGCCATGGAATTGGAAACTATAATTCCAATTCTGCTGTTTGGTAGCACAAAAATGTACATGTGGATTTGGAATTAGTAGTGCAAAAAATGAATTGGAATTGAAGAATTCAATTCCATCCAATTCAATTCTATAAGGTCCCGTTTGGTACATGGAATTCAAAATATGGAATTGGAATTGGGGACTTCAATTCCAATTCTGGTGTTTGGTAGCACAAAAATTATGTGGATTTGGAATTGATTGTGCAAAAAATGAATTGGAATTGACAGAATTCAATTCTATGGAATTGAATCCCATGGAATTTCAATTCCAATTCCACCAATTCCGTATACCAAACGGACCCTAAGGGTCCGTTTGGTATGTGGAATTGGAATTGAATTGGAATTGGAATTCTATGGAATTGAATTGGATGGGATTGAATTCTAATTCAATTCCAAATCCTTTGTTTGGTGTAATTAAAGAATTGATATAGAATTGTATTGTAATTCCAAATCCTTTGTTTGGTGTAATTAAAGAATTGATATATAATTGTATTGTAATTCCAAATCTTATGTTTGGTAACATAAAATTACATATACAATTGATAAGAAATTGTATTCTGATCCCAACCACTTTATTTGATAACTCAAAAAATGGCATTAATATACATTATGGCTACCATCATTTTTTTAAATAACCATCTTTAGACATTTATGACCATAAAAAATTGAACAATTATAAATTCAAATAGATCAAACACACCAAACTTAAATTCAAACAAAGTTGACAGAAGAAGTATTAACTTAAGTTTAAACAAAGTTCAAGTTGAAACAAAGATCAAATTGAATGATAATCTAGGAATTGTATGATAAAAATAAGTGTCAACTTCATTTATCAAGTTGCACTTTCAACCACTTGTATTTCAACTCTGTTGGCATTCCCACAAATGTATTGAATAATATGTGATCATGCATCATCAAATCCACAGCCTTGATCATCTGCATGTCATCGAGTTCAATAGCCTTCAACTCAGCCAAAATTTCTTGGGGATTAATTTTTTTCTTCTCTGCCAACATTAACCCCTTTTCTGTCAAAAGAAGCTCAGACTTTTTCCTTTCCACCGCCAAATAGTCATTGAAATCAGTTGCCATTCGCTGCATACAGTCAGATATGATTGTCGTTGATGAAGTTTTCTTCTTAGGTCCTATAGAACATGAGGAAGACGTTGTCTCCTTTCTCTTTTTTCGAGCCAACAAATCACTTATAACATCAACTTCATCACACTTGTCAAGTGAGTCTGGGATAGTAGCAGAATCAATCTCAATCTCATCATTGGTTTCTTGAATTGTTCTTGAACCTTGCCCATCCGCACGATCTTGAGAGAAAAGAATACAAATATCATCCCAATTGTCTATCACAATTCTTTTCCTGTAAGGTGCAATTTTTGAATAATTCGCCTTCAAAACAACAATAATCATAGTTAATTTTAGTTTACGTAACTTGTTACAAGAGAGACAAACACAAAGAAAGATAGGCATAAACATATCCCTTCCTCTAGCATCTCCCAAGTTTTTCTCCTCACATGAACAAAACTATGGGGCAGAGAGAGCAACTAATCAAAAACCAAACAGTCTGGCAATATATTTTCCTGGGGATAAGATAGAAAGTAGAACATGAAACTCTCAACATGAAAGTTTTGTACTGGGTATATGGAGGGAGATTATTATGAGGTCACAATGATTTGACAGAGCCATTCTAGTATATTGGTTGTGCATAGAGAATACAGAGAGTGTTCCACTTTAGGATTGTTGTAAAATGGAAAACTGAAACAACTCAAGTCAAAGACATTACAAAATAAAGTCCCTGACATTACAAAATAAAGTCACTGACATCCAGACAAGAGACAATTTTTAAATCAAAGAAGATTTTTCACACAAAAAAAATAACAAAACAAAAAACCCAATAAAATAAGCAAACATGAACATACCTTTAATCGTTCATTCCACACATTTTCATCATGAACCATAATTCTACGTGCTGTGTAATCCCAAGTGATTGGAGAGCCAGAATTGCATGATATCAACAATGGATGTAAGATATCGTAGTGTTTCTCACAGGTTTTCAAACGAGCTTGAATGTTATGCTTATCAACTTTAACGTTTAGCTTCACCTGAAGTGCATTTATAGCAGCTGTCCATGAGGTAGACTTCCAAGCAAGTTTTCCATCAAGTTTGTTTCCTTGATTCAGTTATTCTACAAAAGAAGCTCCAAGAACTTTATCCATCTCAGAAGTCCAGGTGAAATATTTTGATTTTTCTTTCCCTAGTTGTGAATTACAGTCCATCTATAAGAAAGAAGAATAGATTGCACAACTATTATTGCAAAACTCTACTAATAACAAGTAATTAATCATCACAAAATACACAACAAATTAGAAAAATGTAATCAAATAGAAGTAATATAAAAGGAGAAATATAGCTTCATAAGCTAAAAATCTGATTTATGCAAGAAGTGATTACAACCAATTTAGTTTCATAAGCATGATGCCTAAAATCTACGCCCATTTTGATAATGGAAAAACATAGCCTTAGCTAAACTATCCCTAAATGCAGTCCACTCATTTGTGACTTGAACAGTTGTAATTCGATCAGGGTGTTGAGTCTCTTCCTCATTATGATAGTGACCAGACATACTTGGTTGAGTCTCTTCCTCATTATGATAATGACCAGACATATTTGGTTGAGTCTCTTCCTCATTACAATCAACGCCATATGTAGTAGCTCTACTTTGAATCTCAGCATCAACTTCATCCAATAATGGATCATTAGGTGCTTCTATTCGAATAAGATTGTGAAGAATAGCACAAGCATTGATGATCTTCACATGCGTTTGAACATCAAAAAAAGATACTTCTCTAAGAATTTTCCATCGCTTCTTGAATAGTCCAAAAGCTCTTTCAATCACATTCCTAGCAGTTGCATGTCTTAGGTTGTATAACTCCTTTGAATTTTTTGGATTGTTGCCTCTAGTGGACCACTCATTGAGATGATATCGAACACCTCTATAAGGAGCTAGAAATCCAGGTCCATTGGTATATCCCGCATCTACCAAAAAATATTTGTTTACGAGATAAAAAGTGAATTTTGATTATTACTTTAGACTTCAAAAATTTAACAAAAGAAAACAGATTCCTAACCACAACATACCCATAGGAACTATGAACGGATCTTTTCTAGTAAGTGCATCTCGTAATACTCTGCTATCTGCTGCAGATCCTTCCCATCCCGGTAGAATATAGGTAAATCTCAAGTCACGAGAACACACAACTAAGACATTGGTTGTTATCCTACCCTTTCTATTTCTGTCCTTTCCTTGATCTTTTAATGGAACGCTTACTTCAATGTGTGTTCCATCAAGTGCTCCAAGACAATTCTACATCACAAAAGTACTAATTAATAAATTAACTGTTGAGATTGATTCACATAAAAATAAACATACGAAAAATAATACTTACTTCAAACCAATCCCATTTTTCATCCTCGAAGCCTTCCATGACTGTTTCTTGCTGGACAACATATTGTTTTCCTAATTTTAGTATAGTATTTAATACTATATGGAAGTATCGACTAACAGTCTCTCCAGATCTTATGAAATCAAAACCAACTTTACGGTTTGTTAAATTGAAAGAGAGTACATATAAAAACATGGAAACTACTTCTTCAACCGTGATATTTTTTGAGTTTTTCAATCCCAACTCTTTTAACTTCGAACATAATACAGAAAAACAATGTCTAGTCAGCCTGAGTTGATCCTTACAACTCTGGTCACTTCCATAATAGAGCCGCCTAATATATAATTCTCGCGCTAAGCCAAAGTCAAGATTGGGTTCTTTCACCAAGCTTTGTTCATTCTATTGACCAACTAATGTAGCAAAATTCATAACGTGAAGAGCAGTAAATATCTTACTCGAAGAACTATCTTCTTCACTTTCTTCATCAGAGTGAGACACATGGATATCCATGCACTAAAAAGAAAAAAAATGCTACATTAATGAAAACAGGGTACTTGCAAAACCAAAGCAATGTGCATCAAAGCAATAATCAATCAAATGTACATATAGTTAGTCATCTATTCCAGAGATTCAGCAAACAAAGCAATATGCATCAAATTTATAAAACATAGACTTTCCAAACCACAAATTAAATGCATTAAAATCTAAAACCAGACATAAATTAGGGGAAAATACCATCCAAGACACAGAATTAGTTGTACCAACCTTAGTAGTAGAATCCATGTCCTTAATCAATTATTCAAACACACAGAGATTTGGTAGCAAAATAAACCTCGAACACGGAATCTCTGCAGTAAAGTAATTCAAAAGCCATTAAAACCCTAGCTAACAACTACAATCGATTTGATAAAGATTTGACAAATCGAAAAACAAATCTAAAAAAAGGAATCGAATTTAAAGATAGAGAGATAGAGAGAGTGAGAGAATTACCAGATGTCGCCACCCTCACCCATGGAGAATTGCGAGATGTCTGCGAGGGTCACCCATGGAGATCGAAGATGAGAGAGCCGAGAGAGAAAGCGAGAAAGAGCGCAGGGAGTTGGAGTTTAGATCTGCGTAAAATTAGATCTAAGATCCGACCCGAGAAAGATCCGCGTGTTTTTATTTGACCCGTGGAATTCACTCCAATTCTTTTATCCTGGTATGGAATTTTAAATGTAGAATTGAAAATTTTGGAATTAGAATTGAATTCCAATTCTATAAATTTTTTCGATACCAAACATCAGAATTGGAATTAAAGTCTCCAATTCCAATTCCGTAGCTTGAATTCCGCGTACCAAACGGACCCTAAGGGTCCGTTTGGTATGTGGAATTGATGGAATTGGAATTGAAAATCCATAGGATTCAATTCCATAGAATTGAATTCACCAATTCCAATTCATTTTTTGCACTATCAATTCCAAATCCACAAAATTTTTGTGCTACCAAACACTAGAATTGGAATTGAAGTCCTCAATTCCAATTCCATAGTTTGAATTCTGTGTACCAAACGAGGCCTAAAATTTTAGTTCCAATCATGTCAATTCCGTGTACCAAACGACCTCTTAAGTTTAAAATAACCGGGTGGCCTCTCACTATGAAATGCAATCCATCGTTTTAAATTTTTAATTCGTACCAATGCTTTAGGCTTATTAGGATTACAATGTATTTCAATTGCAATCAAGTTGGCATTTTCTCATTTCATGCGTCATTCTCAATTTCTCGTCAACTTCATGTTGCAGTGGGTGAAATCAAACGTTTGAATTTTTTTTATATTTCAATATATTCTTTGATTTGTTGTTCATATAAATGGTTTAAATTCATAGAAATTTGTGCCGGTAGTAGTTTGATTAAAAACTTTTAGAGAGTGTTTGCGGTTGTGGTTTGAAAACTTTGAGCTTTTGCTTCATTAAAAAGCAGTTTAGCGGGTGTTTGGCAATATATTTCTACTTTTAGTGTTATTATATGCACTTCAAAAGTCTATAGTGAGCTTCAAAAGTGTTTCTTAGCAAAAGTTAGTTCTTTGTTTTTTTGGAATTTACCACAATCCCAAACATTCTCTAATACTATTACACATTCAAGTTTAGAACACACATATTTCATCCGTCTCCTGTATTCGTTCAATTTGACTTTTTTGAGTTAAAGTGGAAAATTTTTAATAATCAATTATTCTAAATTTGTAGTGCATATAAATACAATGAAATAAAATTTTGAAATGTGCCTACAAGATAACTCTAATGAAATCATTTTTATTATTACATTTAGTTATTACTTCATAATTATAATGTTAATACTATTATTATTGTTGTTGTTATTATTTTTTTTGTTCTTATTGAAATTATTATTATTATTACTACTACTATTATTATTATTGACATCATCATCATCATCATCAATGTGAATACAATTTATAAATGAAGTAATATAACAGCTTATATATATATATATATATATATATATATATATATATATATATATATATATATATATATATATATATATATATATATATATAAATTTCACTTACTATTACAAAGTCAACCTATAGTATTAAAATATTAAATTAAAAGTGTGTTCTCAAAATGATTTTTTCAAATAAGGTGTTTTTCAAATCAATTTTTAATTAGTAAAAATTACCTACGTGGTACTTTATAATTAAGAGTTATTCTCTCGATAGTATTCTGTGAAAAGGTCTATTATATGCCTGTTACATGGGGATTTAATTTTAATATTTTTAATCATCTAAAATTGACCTTACTATATGCACGTCATGTTGGTGTTAAATTGATGATTAAAAGTGTAATTATTTTTCACATGAATCCTACATCCTTCTTGTCATAACCAACGCCCGAAATCAATGATGATGTGCTCTTTTTCTGCCGGAGTTGCCTCCCATAGTTGTCGCAGCTGGTTGGAACCCAAGTCCGCAACCATAGTGGTTGTTATGTTCTCTATCAAGGTGACATCAAAATTAAATAAGAGTGACATTCCTTTATTTCGTCATTTTTGTTGGAAAAGGCGTCAATATTTTGGTTTTGATCGAGTTTCTTGAACTTCGGCCTAATAGCTCTGGTGCCCCTGTGGTTTGAAAAATTGGCATCAATACCTCCTCTGTTTTCAAAACTTATTTCTAAAGTCCTTGTGGTTTCAAAACGTTGCACCCACACCCCCTCTGATCATTTTCCGGCCATTTTCTGGCGAAGATGGGGCATTGGCGCATAATTTCTAAACCATAGGGGGCCCTCGTGCTCATTTCTTATTTTTCGTTTATTATTTGTGTTTTTCCTTCTTTTTCCTTTTCCTAGTTTTTTTTAAAAATTTCTTTTCAATTTTTTATAATGTTTTAAAATTTTTTAAAATTCTTTGTGTTTGAACTAATAAAAAAAATTAACATACATTACATCTATCTCAAATTAAACATTTTCACTTTTTCTTACATAGAATAATTTTTTGGAAAGTTCAAAAAGAAAACCCAAAATAAAAATATGGAAAAACGAAATGAAAAAATTAAAATACGAAATAAAGAGTCTTCTACAAAAAACAATTTTGGAACACGCCTAAAAATATCCTTAAAATTGAGATGTCTGAAAAGGATAATCATTTTTATTTTTGTATTATTTTGTTTCTTATTTTATTCATCATTTTTTAGAAGTTCTAAAAAAAATTACGTTTTTTTCGGAAAAAACAAAAATTGTTAATTTGAGACGTGCTGATGCATTATATGTTAATTTTTTCAAACAAAAATAACTTTAAATTTTAAGAACATTATAAAAGTAATTGCAAAATAACCTTTATTAGTAAATGAAACAAATAAAGGGAAAAAAAGGGAAAAAAAGAGAGAAATAAAAAATCAGCACTGGTACCCCCCATGGTTTAGAAAATATGCACGAATGCCCCCCTTTTTCGCCGGAAAAATGACCGGAAAATGATCAGAGGGGGCACGGGTGCAGCGTTTTGAAACCACAAAGACTTTATAAATAAGTTTTGAAAACAGGTGGGGTATTGCTACCTATTTTGCAAACCACGGGGTACTGACGCTATTTGGCCCATGAACTTCATTACTTCTCTTAATTAAGTTAGTTTGGTACTACATATTCGAAGCACTTATTAAGATCTTTACTTTTTTTACTCGTAGCTGCAGGAAAAGTGAAAAGTTTGTACATACTATTATACGTCTATATTACTAGATTTTATTACCATAAAAATGAAAATTTCAATGATTTCAACATGGGTTATATAATTGGTAATATACATCACATCACACGTACTAATACTACACGTATTCTAAGTTGATTTCATTGAAATTTTATTCCCACAATTAATTATTATTATTATTATTGTATTACTCGATCTACTCCATCGACGATCGATGGCAAAGACGGCGGCGTCAGTGGCAGTTAGAGGCGTGGCCTCCGTGGCATACTTCGCCGCCGCCGTTTCGATGCTCTTCGCCTACCAAAGGTCTTACGTTAATGGCTTTATTTTCAAGATTTCTTTCCGTGATTGGGTCTCTTTCGTGTAAGCTCTCCCCGTATATATACATGTCTTCTCTTAATTTCATGTTTCACTCTCACTCCATCTCTCCCCCATTAGATTACAAATTTTTTTCTCTACTCTCGATAACTTTTGTTTGTTTACGCGCTTTCATTAAACATTTGATAAAATAAAATATTCTTGTCACCTCTTATTTTGTAGAGCTTTTGACGTAGTTTTTTAATACTCCCTCCGTCCTATAATGATCTTCCCAGAGCACTATTCCAACTTCACGAGAATTTATATTTATTTGTGTTTTTTCATAGCCTATATGATAAAATAAAATATTCTTGTCACCACTTGTTTTGTTGAACTTTTGATGTAGTTTTAAAATGTGTATGTTTTATTTTTTATTTCTATACCAATATTTAAATAAAATAGATTGAAAAAACTTGGGATTTTTCTTCGTTTTGCGAACCAGGAAGATCATTATAGGACGGAGGGAGTATGTAATTTTTATTTCTTATCGATATACCGATTTGTAAATAAAATAATTTCAAAAAGTGAGGTATTTCTTCTCGTAAATCCCAATTTGTTATCAAATTGGGGAAGGAGGGAGTATTTTTTTTAATTATCTTTAAAATCTTGTGTAGAATTAAAAAATTTATACCGCAACACTTTTAAAACTAATCACAACTAAAATTGGTTAAAAAATCTTGATGTCGAGTCCAATTCATTTTTTTTAAAATTCGGGTTACTTTGTGTTATAGACATTGTTTGAAAACATCATTTTCGATTAGCGTTTTGAAGAAATTTTAGTGGTGTAGATTAATTCTGAAAGAACTAACACTAAATACTACCATTGAATGATTTTTTCAATAAGCGAACTCTAACCTCAAATGCTGATGTCAAACTGACGGGGGCCATAGGATTGAAAAACCTTTTTCATGGCCGGCTCAATATTACAAGAGTATTAGATTTGAGTGGACCCTACAAATTATTAGCATTTATTTTAAGAATATTTATTAAGTGCATTTATTATAGTACTTTAATTTTTTCTAAATTCACACACATTAATATTTTTTTTTGATATAATTAAAGTTGAGCAATGCTACGTTTACAAACAGGATATTCACAAACTTCACAAACTTACTATTTATGGTTTAAATTTTCATTTTAAAATTTTTTTAGACCATTTAATTTTATTTATTGAAGTTCATAAATAGTAAATTTGTGAAATTTGTGACTATTTTGTTTGTGAACCAAGCATTTTCCATTAAAGTTTGACAGGCCGGGGTGTTGAAATTTCAAATTTACTACGGAGTATTACTATTTTAAATTTTTTCAATTATTATCCGCCTCGCTTAAAAACAAGTTTGTTAAATTTTCAATTTTACTATTCTGAGTTTTTTAATTGTTTTGTAAAATTACGAAGTACATAAAAGTTTAATGAAATAACGGTACGTACTAATCAATGTTGAACGTAGCATGTACTCCATCCGTTCCACAAAACCTTTCCGCTTTTGACTTTGGGGAAAAATAAAGAAAATGTAATTTTGGTTGACTTTCCAATTTTGCCCCTGATGTGATGGGAAAAAGTAAGATGTGATAGTTTGGTTATTAGTGAAAAAGTATGATGTGATAGGTAGTGTATGAAAAAGTAGGGGTAAAATTGGTTTTTAATAGAAAATGGAAGTGTTTTGTGGAAAGCAAAAAAAATGAAAGAGGAAGATTTTGTGGAACGGAGGGAATACAAAAGAAAAAGCATTTGATACTCACTAGATGATTTGTATAAAAATTAGGATAAAGCTATTTGTACCCCAACTTTTGTACCCCACTTTGTATCTCGTAGGTTTGCACCGACACTTTGTGTTGGTGTAAAACTAATTTTTGTTAATCCACCAACACTTTGTATCCGTGTAAATTTTTGTTGATGCACAAACACTTGTGTCGGTGTAAATCATCAAAATGTTTGTGTATAACTATAGTGTACAAATGGGGTATAATTTGTGGTGTAAGTGTAGCATGACCCTAAAAATTATAGTGATTTAAACTAATACTATGTAATTCATAGTCCTCTCGTTTTCTAAAACATTTTCTCTTTCATTTTTTCTTTCTCCAAAACACTTTCACTTTCTATTTAAAAAAAATTTTACCGCTACCTTTTCTTACCCTACATATCACATTATACTTTTTTCACTAATAATTTACTCATCACATCTTACTTTTACCAATCACATCTAGGTAAATTTTGAAAGTCAACTATAAATATATACTCTTTATTTCAGCCATTAGTCAAAATAGGGAATCTTTTTAGAAACGGAGGGAGTATTTGTTTTCAAAGTAAAATGCTTAAAAGGTCCCTATATTTTTCAAAAATGTTTCCCAAGTCTCTAAATTATTTTAAGTGTTTACAAGGTCTCTATCTTTTTCAGAAAGTGATTCACATGTCCCTAAATTGTTTTTAGTGTTTATCTGATTCCTATTCTTTTTAACTGGTTCGTTAGTGGTTCTTTTGGTGACTTTTTCCATACCAAGTTTCCTGAAATTGTTCTAAAAATTAACGTTATACTACCTCCGTCTCACTGTCTTTGTCCACTTTTGGCTTTTGGAACTGTTCATCTAAGCACTTTGACTTATCAAAATCTCTCAATGTGTAAGCCTAAATATAGTCATGCGTGATCTTGTTTGATTTGTATTAACATATAGATTATTAATATATAATTTCTATAATTTTTTAATATACAAATTACAAGATAAAATGGATTAAAGAAGTGCATTGGATGGTGTGTCAAAAGGTAAATGGACAAAAACAGTGGGACGGAGGGAGTATCATAAATTTTCGAATAACTTTTGCATGATGCTCAACCAATTTTCGCGTACTTGATCTGAAAAATGTCAACGAAGAGACTACTAACGCACCAGTTAGAAAATAAAAAGATTTGGTAGGTACTAAAAATAATTTAGGGGCTTCATTGAGCACTATCAAAAATATATAGAATCTAATAAGCACTTAAAATAATTTAGACACTTGGGAAACACTTTTAAAAAATAAATATAGGGACCTTCTAACTCTTATTCATCATTATTAATGAAAATGTTTGCTCAAATTGCAGATTGTTCGCTATTGCAAATTCTCTTGCGAGCGCATACAATTTTTCCACTCTTTGCATTCCCTCTGGCTCTAACCTGTGGCGGATGGTGGTACTGGTCGATATGGTATGTAATTAATTATACGAAAGGATTATTTAAACATTCATCTAATTTCCTTTCATAAAAAAGTTTTACATTTTTTATTTCGTTTGTATAAAAAAAAACTATTTTTCACTTTTGAAAAAAAGAATTCATGGTCATTATACTTTTCTCTTCTCATTACCACTTCAAACCACACATGCAAATTCTGTTTTCTTGATCTCCTTGCCAATTTAGAGATGAAACCTTTTTCTCGACGGAACGAATATTCAAACGTTTTTCACGAATAACTAATACAATTAAATGGTCAAAACAATGAATTTCACCCTGCGACTTATACAGCTAACTGCTAAAACCCAACCGTCAATTTTCAAACACGGCCTAAATTTGAAACGAGCTAAACATGAGGTCACTGTTGTAGAAATTTTTTATTCATAAATGACCCGTAATATTCGGTGACACTGTCGATTTGAGCACCCAATGTTCGATACTCTGTTCAGTCCCGAAGTGGTTCCTAGAACTTCCTATCATTTGCTCATTCGGTGAGTGCGGAGAGCTATCATTTGCTAAACAATGGAAGCCCAAAAGTGGACTGGTCAGCCGTGTGCGGCGTTGCTCGTCATTTTTGCGGCGTTGTGCTTGCGGCCTTAGCCCTTGGCGCATGTGGGTTACTCCTCAATCTTGGTCTTCTCTTCTATTCTCTCCTCATCATTTTCAATCCTCATTCCTTTGGGGACTTCATTTGATTAGAAGGGATGGTATTGAAGATAATTGGGAAGTTTTGATTTTTGTTAGGGAGAATTTACCTAGACAGTACTAAAACATAGTGACTTTTTCAATGTAATACCATATGTTTTTCTTTTTCCAATGTAGTATCACTGTTCAATGTCTACTAGCTAGTCATTATTCAAATAAATGTCCAATGCCACTAGACATTGTTTAAATTAAATATTCACCATCATTAGATATTATTCCAGTCACTAGTTAGTCATTATTATTCAAGTACTATTTAGGAAATAGAAACACTTAAGTACTACATTGAGAAAAAATATACTCCCTCCGTCCTAAAATTAACTTTCCATTTGACTTTTCACGGTCTCCAATGCGATACTTTGACCATCAATATCTCAATTTTTATATAAATATATTTTATAAAAATTATATATTTCAACACTATGTTACGAAATGAATCTATTGCTAATAAAATTATATGAAAATTCAATGTATTTTTTTTGTAATATACGGTCAAAGTTTTAAATGTTTGACAACAAAAGTCAAACTAGGAAGTTAATTTTAGAACGGAGGGAGTATGTTTTAGTACTATTTAGTACAAATTTCATGTTTGTTTTTCTATGTTTGGTGTATTTATAGGTATTAGACTAGAAGATGACTCCAATTAATGTTTAGTTCAATCATTATATTATTTCTATATATACTTATTTTTTGAAATACTCTTCTTAAGGGATTGCATGGTGAGTTAGGCCCCGTTCCGTTCAACTTATTTTTTCTTATTTTTTCTTATTCTTATTAAAATCAGATCAGATCAGATCGAATCAGATCAGACCAGATCATATCAGATCGAATCAGATCAGATCAGATCAGATCCAATCAGATCAGATCAGATCCAATCAGATCAGATCAGATCCAATCAGATCAGATCAGATCAGGACTTATTAAAATAAGATCTCTTCAAGAATTATTATTATTATTATTATTATTATTAGTATTATTATTATTATTATTATTATTATGATCATCATCATCATCATCGTCATCATCATTATTATTATTATTATTATTATTCTTAAAAATGAAAAAGAATAAACTTTAGAAATAGGTTAAATAAAAAGCTAAGAAAGTAATCCTTAATTATTAGACGTCGGAAAAATTAGTTTTAAAATACATTGACAATGTCAATCTAATTCTACTTTTAAAATATATTTTTATTGCTACTTGTAATTTGAGTTTCTAAACTTTTGATCTTTTATAAGGATGAGATATTTTAATAAAAATACTATCTCTTCTATATATTGATTATCTAAATTTAATTACTTTTAAATGTATATCTAAATTAAATATTTATTCTAATGTATAATTCTAATTTTACAAAAACATTATCATAAAATAAAAAATATTATTACATTATAATATGAATGATTATTCTAATATATGAATTAACTATTTTTATTTTATTAAAAAATAATCATTAAATAAAAAATATTGATTATATTATAATATTAATTATCATTACAATTTTCAAACGTTATTATAAAGTCAAATTAAATTATTGATTTGAAATTTTAAATTAAATCATAATTAATCAGATCAGACCAGATCAGATCAGATCAGATCTAATCAGATCAGATCAGATCCAATCAGATCAGATCAGATCCAATCAGATCAGATCAGATCCAATCAGATCAGATCCAATCAGATCAGATCAGACCAGATTAGAACTTATTAGAATCAGATCAGATCAGAAAAAATAAGTTGAACGGAACGGAGTTTTAGTATGTTACTTTATTGGCATGGTGAGTTAGTATTGTTACTCTATTCGAGGATTTCTTTATTTCTTTTACTCATCATCATGGAATAAAGAATTACGGTAATGTCGTTTCCTGTTTTGGGTGTGTTTTTATGCGTGAGAAAGAAAAAAAATAAAGGGATTTTTTTAAGAGAGCTCTTGATTTTCCGACAGAATTTCCGGCAGTCCCCTTCAAGTTTTTGGTCGCCAACGTTCCTACGCTGTTCTTGTTCGTTGGTGTGTGGTTGGTCCGTACAATCTCCACACATGATAGCGGTTTTATTTTGGGAGGAGAGTGCCCACGTTATTCCGGTACCGTAGGCGGAAACTACTACCTTAAGAACAGCTTCGGCGACTCCGCTGTCCTTCACGATGTTTTGTTTTGCAGGTTCAATTCATAGTGACCTCGCTGCCTCACACAGTGTCTTCGTCCCAGACTTTCTGCTTCAGCCCAGTGCATATTGTCCTTGCTGTCTAGTGCATAATGTCCTCAATATCTAGTGCATAATGTCCTCATACAACCAATGTTTTGAAAACCGGACCGGACATCGAATCGGACAAGCCACTGGGTCAAGAGTCAACCGGTCGAACCGGGTTGACTCGGGTTAACGACCCGGTCAACGACCCATTACTTGGTATATAATATTCATATTTATGTTTAGATAATAAAAAATTAAATAATACCATATTTTGTGAACTATTTTTAAAGATAATAAAATATTATCACATAACTTAAATATGCATATTATTTCAAAATAATACGAAGCACATACTCCCTCTGTCTAACTTTAATCTTTCCATTTGAATCGGACACACATATTAAGGAAAGATGTAAATGTTATTGTCGATGTTAAATAAAATATTTAAAATTGCATTTTTTTCTTCTTTATGTTATTTTCAATGTCATTGTTCATATACTCTTTCACACTTTCCATATTTTATTATAATTAGTATATATTTCTTCATTTTATAGATGATAATATTTGTTTAGATATAAATTATTCATTACTATTTAATACAAAAAAAAAAAATTTTTTACTTTGAAATATTTTAAAAGATTATAAAATAATCACACAACACAAACATGATCTTTCTTACAAATAGTTAGAAGTTTTCTTAATTCACTCAACACAAATAAAAAGCACTATATATACTATTCTGCATGACTTTGTTAGCAAGAGTTGAGTAGCTTAAGTGGTTATAGACTTGGAGAGTTATATGGTGAGGTCTAGTGTTCAAATCCTAGCTCCATCATTTTATTTTGTATGCAAAAAAAATAAAAAAAAAACTTTAGAAAGAAACCCGCGAGCCCGCCGGGTCTACCGGGTCTGGGCGGGTTGATGCTGATCCGGGTTTTACATTTGAACCGGACCGGATTCCTCACCGGTTCGCGGTCCGACCGGTTGGACCGGCCGGTCCGGTCCGGTTCTAATAAAATTGCATACAACACGGCCTTTTGAAGATATAGAAATTTATTTTCAACTTTGTTTATTTTGTAATATTATGAATAAATTATAAATTCAGAATTTTATTTATTTTTATTTTTTGGGACCGTTCATCTTCCCCGTCCGTTGTAATTCGTACGAGAGTTGTAACAATCTTAAGGTCGTAGTCATATCCGTGCACGATGGCGGGTATGGACGGATTCAGTTTTGACGCTCACACCAGAAACGGGAGTAGTTCCGAGACTCCGGCTGTGAATGTTTCGGATCGATTGGGTGGCTTTGTTGGGCAGACCACTCCGATCAACGTTCCTTTTGGATCGAGTACGGCCGTGGGGTCCACTCCGATTCTCACTTTTGATGGATCGAGCGCGACTATGGGGTCTGCTCCGGTCACCTCGGTTAATGGACCAACCGCGGCTACGGCTGCAATGGTCACCCCACTCGCACCGAATATGGTTTCGGCCATACCGGTCATTCCCTCACTTGGACCGAACACAGGTGTCTTCACATCCGCACCGGTCGGACATCCTACTGTCATGCTGCTTGCGAACTCTGTCAAAGAACCGGCAAAGTCCACAAGTGTTGGCTTTAAAATATGGCAGTAAAGGATGTTATTTTGGCTGACCACCCTCAACCTTGCGAGGTACTTGAGTGAGGATCCCCCTGTTGTGGGGGAGAACACGGACGAGCAAACAGTTCAGGCTTAGGAGGCATGGATAGCGAATAAGTATATGTTCCTTAACCTTATCCTGAATTGTTTGAGCGATGCCTTATATGCTGTTTATAGCAGGGCTGCATCCGCAAAGGAGTTATGGACTACACTGTCTAACAAATACCAAGCCGAGGAGGCCTGTGCGAAGAAATTCGTTCTTGGTAAGGTTTTGGATTTTAAGATGGTGGATTCCAAACCCATGGTCAGCCAAGCTGAAGAATTGGTCTTCATTTTTAATGAGTGCACTGACGAGGGAATAGGAGTCAGTGAGACATTCCAAGTGACCGCGATTATTCATGTGCTCCCGCCGGCTTGGGATGAGTTCTGGAGCTATCTCAAGCTCAAACGAAAAGAGATGATCTTAGAACAGTTGCTCGTTCCTACGAGAGTTGTAAGAAATTATAGGGACTAGATTTGTCTAATCTCCCCAAATTAAAGTTTTGGCCTTGATTTCTTCATTTTCTGCTACATCAAAATTGGAAAGTCGATTTTAGGATTGTGGCAGGAAAATCCGATGTCAATTTTGATTCATCTTTTATAAACTTCTCCCGTCCTATAATGTTCTTCTCGTTTCTATTTATGAAATATGACCGATTTTATTTTCAATTCAATTTATTTGATTGTAGGTGTAAAATTAAAAAATAAAATTTATATATTTAAAAACTACATAAAAAATTCTACAAAACAAGTGGTGACAAGACTATATTATTTTATCAAATACCTAATGCATATAAGTAAAGAAAGTGATTAAAGTTTGACAGTGTAAAAAGTAACATGGAAGAACATTTTAGGACGGAGGGAGTATATAATAGATACTCCCTCCATCCATAAAAGATTGACACAGTTTGACTTCTTTGTTCGAACTGTGACGTCCTTTGACCGTAAAATATAGAAAAAGTATATTTGCTTATAATGTAAATCTAGTAAAATTAGATTTTTTTAGAATATAGTTTAAAAATATTAAATTTATACTCGTAATATTTTAATTACTTTAAATTATATTTAATTCTTGGTCAGAGAATGCTACAATGTGACTAAAAAAGTCAAACTGTAACAATATTTTTAGAGACGGAGTATGGTCGCACCTGTGCTTATCCTTTTTGACATTAACTTTTGATCTCGAGTTAGACTCACTTATGTTACTCACGAAAACTCGGACATTCTTTCTATTATTCGTGAGAGTGGTAGGCGTTGACGCTGAAAAATACACCCTATCTTAAAATGTGCCTACATTAAAATTTAAGAACTTTTTTGGATGACGAGAGAACATGGGAGGAAAGAAATGGAAGAAAAGAAAATAAGAGGAAATAAATTGAAAAGAAAATAAAAACAAAATAATTCTCGTTTGGATAATTGGATGAATAGAAAGTAAAGAGAAAATGAAAAGAAGAAAGAAAACACGATAAAACAAAAAAGGCAAATTTACATGTACTCTATAATAATGAAAGGGGAACACTTATAAATAAGGAGGGAAAATAGTAATTTGGTTTGTTTTCTTTCCTATAATATCAGATTTTCTCCTCGTATGTGGATAGTGGCGTATCTTGGATTTCAAATAGTTGGGGGCAAAAAAAGTCAGTGTTCAGGTGAAGCAAAAAAGGTCAGTGTTCAGGGGAAGCGCTAATTTTTTTCAAAATTTTTTTGAATGTGAACTTTTGAACAAACAATTTAAAAATTTATTTTTAAAAAAATTAATTATATGCATAAACACATTTTAGTTGGAGTCCATTCAATTTTAATTGGGGTCAAATAATACATGTGTAAAAATTTAAAAAAAAAATTCCCTTAAAACCCAAAAAATAGATCAGCGAGTGAAAACTTCAAAGTTGATTTTTCACTCTTTTTTTGTTCTCTCCAGCTTTTTCCTCCTAATTTTTAGTCAACCAAACAACCTTTCTAAAGGCTTTTAATAATTGTTTTGAGGAAGACTTCCAAGGAATCTAATGGCATGTGCAATGGAAGGCACACTCCACAATTCCGGCATCAATCTACTCTATTGCCAAAGAAAAATGCTAGGGGTACGTTAAAAAAGAAAAAACAAACAAGCAATTTAAACTACCCCTAAAATAAGTCACCATTCTTCACCTTATCTTCTAATTCATAGTCACCTCTTCTAAAAAGTAATGACAATTTCGAAAAATCAATTCTATTTTTTCTTTTCCTTAAATATGCCCAAAAGTCAAAACAGACAATTTAAAATGAGACGGTGGGAGTATAATAGTAATAAGAATAGTAATACTAATAATAATAAAAATAATAATCTATGGAGTTCGGAACCCAAAGGCAATCGTTGAGTGAACTGTATCTTTTGTACCAGGTGTACCCCATATGTCCCTCACCCCCTCCTTGTCCACTAAAAAAGGCAAAAAAATTTTAAAAAAATAAGTAAATAAAAATCAAATAAAAATGTGTGGTGGAGAAGGGGGTGGTATACATTTAGGGTACACCTTTTGGTATACCCCTAGCATTGCTCATTGCCAGATCATCATCTCCCTCTTTTTCTCCACAAGCCAAAATACTTCCAAGTTCCAATATTATCTTCTTGTGGTCTTGTTTTTTCATTTATTTTATAGTAGTATTAATTATCATTTTAATCAAAAATTTATATAAATTCAATAAAAACATTGATCTACTAATAAAAATAGAAAAATAATACTCCATTTGTTCCTTTTAGTTCTTCCAACTTTGTTTAGCACGATCAACTTTTTAAAACTTTGACCACAAATTATAAAAAAATGTTTTGAATTATAATATGAATTTAATATCAATAGATATCTTGAATTACATATTATTATAATATGTATTTGTATATAAATAAAGATATTAATGATCAAAATTTTGCATTGGGAGACCGTACAAGTCAAAGTCGGAAGAACTAAGAGCATCTCCAATCATCCTACTTTCGCTTGTTAAAAGCCATAATATAACAAGCTCTTCAAATTATAGAAAGCCAAGAGTTATAGAATGGATTAGCAAGCCATGGTTGGGGAATGCAACAAAATATCACTTGCTATGTCATTATTCACTTGTTAAAATATAAAAATAGCAAGCCAATATGATATACAAGGTTGGAGATGCTCTAAGAGAGACGGAGGGAGTAATAAGATAATTAAAAGAATTATATTAACAAAAAAATGAAAAAAAGTCCAGAACTGTGCAGTGGACATCTCAAATGGACACCATTGCCTTTTTGCCGCGCCCCACGTCCGGCGTCAAGCCCATAATTCGCCTTGCGTTGTGACGCCAAACGCTCCCGCCTCTCTGCAATGGCACGTGTTGCTCGCCACGCGCCTCCGAGCGATGCTGCATGTTTCTTCCCTTCCCATTCCAAATGGCCTAAGAGTCCGCTTGGTATACAGAATTAAAGGAATAGAAATTGAACACTGAGTTAGAAATTCTATGATATTGATCTGGATGTAATTGAACTCTCTAATTTCAATTAATTTTAGTATTACCAATTCCAAATTCACATATTTTTGTGATACCAAAAAAGAAAATTGGAATTATCGTCATAATTTTTCTAACACTATGTTTGGTTTAAGAAATTTGAGAAGGAAATGAAAAGAAAACGAGAAAAAAACATTTTTTTGTTTAGTTAGAGTGAAAAAGAAAAGAAAAGTGGAAGAAAAAAATTAGAAGACAAAAAAACGAAGGAGAGGGAAAACCAAATTTCTTACATTTTAGTAAGAAAAGTGAGAAAAAACTATTTTCTTTTTTTTTTCTTCCAAATTCCTTGAACTAAACATAGTATTTTTACAAAAAAACAATTTTCTCTCGTACTTGAATCAGTATTTCGTTCACCAAACATGGTCTTATTGTTTGTCTGCATAACTACCGCACTCCATAGGTAAGAAAGACTGTAATTAAGAGCTAAGATTAGTGTGTAATAGCGAAACTTACCCCACCATTATTAACCGTTCCACACTTGCAGACCTTTCCTTTTCTCTTTTCTCTTTTCTCTTCTACTTTCAAACCCTAATTTCATTTTTGGAATCTGCATTCTTAGAAAGATAAGCTTTTTACCCTTTCTCGAGACACCCAATTGGGTGGTGGAGAAAGGCATGAAATTGGGATGGAGGTTGAAAACCCAAGAATCGGAAATGGTGAAGAAGGTGGAGACATCAGGAGGAGCAAAGGCGACGGCGGCGGCGGCACTCTCGGGAGGCTCTATGGTTGGCCGTCGTCCCGGATTGTTCGGGTTTCTCGGTCTTCGGGAGGGAAGGACAGGCACAGTAAGGTGTGGACTTCGAAGGGCTTGAGGGACCGCCGCGTTCGCCTCTCCGTCACCACCGCCGTGCAGTTCTACGATTTGCAGGACCGCCTCGGGTACGACCAGCCCAGCAAGGCGGTGGAGTGGCTGTTGAAGGCGGCGGCTCCGTTTATCGACGAGCTCCCTTCTTTGAATGCCTCGTATCCTGATACGCTTCAGCTAAGTGATGGGAGGAAACCCAGGGGTGGGGGCGGAGGAGATCGGATGCACAGTAGCCCATCCAACAACAGCAAAGGCTCCGGCGGGGTTTCTCTTTCCCGGTCGTCGGAGTATCCTCTCCTGGCCTTGGACGGAACTCGGGCCGGGAAGGAGAAGACCAAAGAGAATGTGGAGCCCGTGAACTCCATTTCCCAAAATTCAAGCTTCACTGAGCTGTTGACTAGTGGGGGGAGTGCCATCAAAGGCGATTCAGAGCTCTTCTCAGTTGACTATGTCACCAGTGGTCTATTAAACCATTCCTCTGCCCATCAAATCCACACCGGAAACCCTCTGATGAATCCTCGGGTTTCTTCCTCCCTGTTTAATGCCACCGGAGAAAACCAATTCTCCTTTGTCCAGCATAACAACCTCAACAATTACAATCTGAACTTCAGCATTTCGACTTCTTCCTCGTCTTCTACTGGCATTGCTGCTTTTAGGGGGACCCTTCAGTCCAATTCTTCTTCATCTTCTTCCTCTCTGTCTATGTTGCCTCCTCACCTCCAGAGGTTTCACCCCATTGACGGAACACCAACAGGTTTCTTCGCAGCTGCAGCACCCACTGCTCCACCCGCGGACAACCATCATCACTTTCTCCACGGATTAGATGCCCGTTTGCAGCTCTACTATGGCGACCCGCAATCGGAGCATAAGCACAAGGGAAAGAACTGATCATGTATGATTGCCCGTCAGGTCCTTTACAGCTCATCTTCATACATATGGTAAGTTTTCATTCTCTGCAACTCTCTATTGTTCTGTTGAGGCCTTTTGTGTTAATTAATGTTCTGATTTTCAAGAAATGTTTTGTAGATTAACTTAAATCTTGCTTTATCAATGGTGGAAGAGTGGAAAGTCTACTTAAAAAATATGCATTTCTAAATCCCAATTTTTTGCCTAATTGGCCAATACTAATATAAAATGTCAGGCAAAGTGCTATAAGAAGGTAACATATGTCAGTTTTATTCTGTACTACTGTGCGTGAACAATTAATTTTATCTGGGGATATTCATTAGTATAATGTAGATGTTTTTGTGTATAGAGAGAGCATCATTCCTTTCTAATTAGGGCCCCGTTTGGTAACATTAACCAGCTTATTATGCTTCCTATCATGCAAGGAGTTGTAGGGAACTAAAGTCAACCGCATGCTTAAAGCTTGTGGTTGAAATCCGAGGAATGTTGTCATACTCTAACAAGGAGACATTACTCTTGTCATTTCAAATTGAATGGTGAATTGGTGATCGAGAATCACTCTATTTCAGCCCTCATCTTTCATATTTGAAGAGGAATAATTACCTTATTTGGTTGAAATCGATTTTAGCTAACTCCTTTCCTATAGAGAAAGTTCATTAATTCCAGTCCTTTCGCCCAATTAATCACCCAAACAATCCTTACTAAACGCAGCCTATATCTCCATGTATTATTTTTAATTAAAATTCACTGCAAGATCAATGAGAAGGTAAGGGTATATGTTGCAACTTATATTACGTATTTACGTTATATATAAGTATTAGTATCTGCCTTTAGTTTGGTTGATTACCATTGTCTATTAGCTCATTGCATCCAACTTTTTTACTAGCATTTGGTAAGCGGTATTCATGATGGCAAAGGTCTTTGATTAATCTTTGATATGCACTTGCAATAATGAACTGCGCAAACTACCTTCTACTTATCTATAGCTAATCTTGTATAAAAATGTGATGTTATTTCTTTCATACATGATTAATCTTGTATTATGACATTAGGCTTTCTCTTTCAAATATATGGTAAAAGACCAAAAGAATTTTAAATCAGAAGATATGTTCATCAACAATGTGATGTGTACCGATGTACTACCAAAGATCCTATCTATCACGAAGAGATGGGTGGTGTGTGACTTTGGGAGTCGGACCATGCGTTACAATAGGTTGCTTGTTTTTGCCATGCGTTACGTGTCTCTTTTAGAACCTAATTTATGAATTTTCAATTGAGATATCTGTTTAGAGCCTCTAATGTAATGTCGAGTTTTTCTGAAATGGTCGAGTACCTGCTTAAATTGTGGTACAAATGGTTAAAAATACAATGATTCATACATTCAACAACTGCAAACCCTGAATAATCCCAATTTCTTAGGGGGTCAAGATGTACATAACCTTTACTTGAGGAGGTATATTATATATCCGGATGTACTTTGAGCATGTGCATTCATCGTTTGGAACTAAGCATTCTTTAGAAACAAAATGAGCGTTTGTAAGAAGTAAATTATCATTCTTTACAAGAAAAAATATAAAACGCAAACATGCCATATTGATTTAGTTCATTATTTAACCGAAGCTAACACAAAGTAAAAAAAACGATTCTTTTTCCTCCATTGGGAACAAACGCAGATAGAGATCCATATGCATTTGATTTTATGAAATAGAAGATACCTTTCATTTTTTCATCTGCCTCTATGGTTTACTTGTTATTCATGTCCATGCCGAATGAACGCAGGTGTGATTGGATCAATGCTCCGTCCTCTAGTGAACGCGAGCTTCCCTCGGCTTGCTTACTTTTCATTATTATGCTTCTATGCTATTAATTACAATGATTTCTGGATTCATGAAGTGACCATATTGTATCTGTTCATGCTTTGCATTTCTTGTTGTGTGTTGTTTTCTTGATTGATCTTGGAATAATGCATCTTCTCTTTAAAATGTGTTTTCTTTCTCTCTCTCTCTTTTGTCACACTCCCATTTTGCTAAGATAGAAATACTTTAACTAGGACTATAACACATTTCATTTATATGTTGGTATTAAAATAAGATTTCAATGTTCTTATACCAAACTAAGAATTATAATGCTGTATTATACTGAGTTTTAAAAAGATTGAAATGTCAATATACAATGCTCAAGTATACGGAGTTTTAAATTATATGAAGTTTTTAAGATTTGGTTTGAACTTCGAATCGTTTCGATGCCAGATTGGGAGATATGCTTGTGGAGTATCTATTATTTTTCTCTTTCCCAAAATACCCCTCCCTCTCTACAATGTTTCTCTTCTTCCTCAAAAAACAACCTACGGAGTAGATCTCAAATCTCTCTTCTTCTCATGGATAATGGTAAGGATGGCGATGTCTATTGAAATAAAAAAAATCCAATTAAGGAAATACTAAGTTCTTTTATTGATTGACAAATCATTCTACTCGTAAAAGCAGGGGAAAATAGCTCCATGAAATTCCGCCCAAATGCACACGGTTAAAAAGGTACTTTTATGGTATTTAATTAAAAAAAGGTAACATGGTAAGACTTTTAGGGTATACTAATTTAAATTAGGAATTAAATAAAATTGTGTGTTTAATGCGTAGGAATAAAAAAGGTTAGTTTTCTTTTATAGAACGTTAATTGCGTAGACCAACATAATAATTTTTTAAATTACGAATTAAATATAAAGAAAAATTTATTGATTATACCTACATAGTACAATTTTAAAAAATTACATTAATAAAAAAAGGAATTATGGCTTTTAGTGTTTAATGTGTATGAATAAAAATGGTTAGTTTCTTTATTTGGGTCAATTGCGTAGACACACGTTCCAATAATTTAAATTTAAATTATGATTTAGATATTAAAGAAATGAATTAGTTATACATACAAAGTAATATGTCCTCTAATTTTGTAAAATAAATTTCCGAACCTAACTACACAGTTAAATGCGATGATATTTATTTTAAAAACAATCGTTTCCTTTTCAGTTTTTTGAATAAATAGTGACAAATGTCGTGTTGAGAAAAACACATCCCCTTATCGACATTATATTAAATTATTTATGCTCTTTAATACAAACATTAGTAAATAATCATGGGAGTGTCGTCGACGTTCGACAAAACTAATGCTACAAAATTATAGGTAATAGAATTATATTTTTAATTAAACTTATTTGGTCGATTTTATTTTAAATTAAACTTATTCGATTATAAGTGTAAAACTAAATAAATATGATGCTACAAAATTATAGGTAATAGAATTATATTTTTTATCAAATAACTAATTAAAATAATAAAAAAAAGAAATAAAGTTTGACCATACAAATAGTACTAGAAAAATAGTTTTAGAATGACACAACAATACTATATTTAAAAAGAGGAGAATTCTCCTTTGCAGTTTCCTGCCTAAATGGTCTTCAATCACAAGAGGTAAGCGCTCAACATAAATAGGTAATTGTTAAATCCAATAGTGTCGTATATAAGGTAATAAATATTTATGAATTATAATGTACCGTGTGTAATAAATTAAAATGCCGAGTAAATGGTAATTATAGTAATTAAATTACCCATGTAATATATTATTTATTAATATGGTAATTCCATACCTTTAAATTTTTAATACCGTGTTATAAAAAGTATAATTAACACAGAGGATAAAAAGTATAACTGTTTGCTATGAGAATAATTTTATTCACACGCTATCATAAAAAGTAATATTTATACTTTTTGTAAAAGGGCATTTAATGTGTAATAAATTAAAATGCCAAGTAAAAGGTAACTATGGTAATAAATTACCCATGTAATATATTATTTATTAATATGGTAATTCCATACCTTAAAATTTTTAATATCGTGTTATAAAAAGTATACTAATTATGGTACTGTGTTATAAAAAGTATAATTAACACAGAGGATAAAAAGTATAACTATTAAATGCCCTTTTACAAAAAGTATAAATATTACTTTTTATGGTACCGTGTGAATAAAAGTATTCTCATACCAAATATTTTTTGGTCCAACATTATATATTATGAATGAAATTTAAAAGTTTGGAAATTGAAAAGACAGTGTGAAAAAATATCGATCAAAAAATATTTGTGTTTTTTTAATTTGTACTTATTTTAAATAAGGCAATTTCATTGTAAGCAACGTAATAATAATAATATTTTTAAAAAAGGTAGGTTCCTTTTACGTGATTACCGTGTATAAAAAATTACCGTATTTGAAAAAACATGAAAGTGTTGCCTTGAAAAAATTATTCTCATATCTTAAAGTATCGAAATTAAAATCACAGTTGTGTTTGCATTTATACTTTTTAGTTATTTTAAATAAAGAGATTTCTTTATCCACGATTTTGGTAAGAAAGAATCATAAATACACGTTGATAATTTAAAATTTAAGTTAAAAATAGAATGTTGAAGTGGTAAGAAAGACACCAAAAACCGATCAAAAAATATTTATGTTTCCTTTTTTACTTTATACTCTCTCCGTTCCACAAAATCCTTCCGGTTTTGACTTTGGGGAAAAATAGGGAAAATGTAATTTTGGTTAACTTTCCAATTTTGCCCCTGATGTGATGGAAAAAAGTAAGATGTGATAGTTTGGTTATTAGTGAAAAAGTATGATGTGATAGGTAGGGTATGAAAAGGTAGGGGTAAAAGTGGTTTTTTAATAGAAAGTGGAAGTGTTTTGTGGAAAACAAAAAAACGAAAGAGGAAGAGTTTTGTGGAACGGAGGGAGTACGTATTTTAAATAAGGTAACTTCATTATAAGCAATGTAATAATAATATTATTAAAAAAGGTATGTTCCTTTTTTGCGGTTATCGTGTATAAAAAATATCGTCTTTAAAAAAAATGAAAATGTTGACTTGAACAAAAAAATATTCTCCTACCTTAAAGTATCCAAATTAGAATTACAGTTGTATTTACCTTTATACTTTATAGATATTTTAAATAAAGTGTTTTTCTTATATACGATTTGATAAGAAAGAATCATAAAATTCACGTTGATAATTAAAAATTTAAGTTAACAAAGGAATGTTGAAATGGTAAGTAACACCAACCGTGTAATTTGGCCGAAAATATTACATTGTAATTTTAAAAAAAATTCTGAAAAAGGAAAATAGAATAAGCCAAAAACTTTTCATAGTATAAATACAATCATTTGCAAGGATTTTTGTAATTAGTTTCTTTCAAGTGCACTTTGAAATATGTGCTGTTGAAGAATAATTTTAATTTAGTAACATAAATATGAAGCGTGCAACGCGCGGGTGTGATACTAGTACTCCGTAATATAAATGAGTTCTTCTATGGCGGGAATGAATACATCAAAATTATTAGAACCAAAGAGATGATGATAATATTTTATTTTATCAAATGAGCACTAAAAATATGTATCTCGACAAAAGTTATTAGAATGTAAGAATAATTACAACATACTCTCTCTATCTCATTTTGAGTTGACTATTTACGATATTTGATTGAAAATTATTTTTAAATAAATTTATATGAAAATTGGGGTAAAATTTAAAACTCAAATTTATATATTTAAAAAAAATACATCAAAAGTTTTACTCTGTACAAAATAAGGAATGACAATATTATATTATTTTTATTAAATGAGTAATGAAAATCAGTAAAAAAACGAGAGATTAAAGTTTCATCATATCAATGGTAAATAGATAATTAAAATTGGGACTGAGAGAATAATTATTTTAAGGATTGAGTTAGTACATGGTCAATTGTACTCCCTCTCCCTTGAAGTAATTGATTTGTTTTTTGAGATTTTAATAAGTATTGAAAAAAAGAGTGTTAAAATTTGTTTCAAAGACAAAAAAATTATAGATTACACGTTGTACTCCGTATTAGTATAAGCAATCTTAACCATTCATTTTTAGAAAAAAATGAGATCTACGAATGATATATAATCGAGTGTTTTAAGATCGAATAAGGAAAGTTATTCTCTAGGTACCATTAATAAAGAAAAAGGTAAAGAATCAACAAACATGGAAATATCGGACCAAAATAAATATGTAATCCACCATTGTATACAAAATTAAAAAGGAAACAAGAAATTGTATTTTTTATGGGAACATTTTTAAAAAGTAAAGAATTAACAAACAAGGAAAGAAGAAACCCTTTTTTTCATGAGAACGTTTTAAAAAAAGTAACAAATTAACAAACAATGAAATATATATAGGACCAATGATATTGTTATTATTATTTGTTTTATTATTATTATTTAAAATCGTGATTAAGTAGGGACATGACAAAGATTTAAAACCGTATTTTTATGAGAAAATATTTTAAAAAGAAAAGAATTAACAAAAAAAAATATCAGACCGATAATATTATTAGTATTATTATTCTTTTTTTAAAAAGCAAAGGAAGTTATTTTCAAACAAGATTGTGTCTTTAATGTAAACAAAATAAAAAAGGAAAGAAGAAACTATTTTTTTATAGGAACAGATTAAAAAAAGTAAACAATTAACAAAGAAATATAAGACCGGTGTTATTATTATTATTTAAAATCATGATTATTTTAGTTCATGAAAAAAATTTAAAACTGTGTTTTTTATGGGATCTGATTAAAAATAGTTAAAAATTAACAAAAAAGAAATATAGGACCGATGATATTATTATTATTTAGAAAAAGCAAAGGAAGTTATTTTTAAATAATAGCATGTTTTTAATGTAAACAAAATTAAAAAGGAAAGACGAAATCGTATTTTTTAATGGGAATAGATCAAAAAATATAGGATCAATGCTATTTAAATCATGATTATTTTAGAACATGAAAAATATTCTATTTAAAAAAGCAAAAGAAATTATTTGTAAACAAGAGTGAATTATTTTAGTGTTATTATTCTTCTTTAAAAACGAAAAGGAAATTATTTTTAAACTAGAGTGTGTCCTTTATGTAAAAAAAATAAAAAAGAAAGAAATAA